TTGTCACTTCTGCGATAAGAACTTTGCATATGCGGACACCTCCTGCCCAATTTCTCTCCACATCTGCACATCCTCCTCTTGCAAGTGCGATGCACCTCACCACTGTAGGTGCGATTGCACCAGACCTGCTGCACCTCAACAATGACCAAACTTCATAGGGGTAGTCTGAAACTCACCGGAGCCCCTCAGGACCCCATTTGAACATACCAATAAGTCCCAACACATAATATAGACCTACTCGAAGCCTCAAATCACACAAAATAATATCAAAACTCTGCGTCGCACCTCAATTCAAGCTTCATTAACAAGTCTAAACTTTTGAATTCCAAACTTACGTCGAACGTGCGTAAACAACTCGGAATGATCCCAAATTTCACCCATAAGTCATAAATCATCATACGAATCTATTCCAAGGCTCATAATCCCAAACGGACATCGGTAACCACAAACTCAACTATGTATCAAACCTATGAACTTCTAAACCTTCAAACTTCTAACATTTTTCCAATTAGAGTCAAATTAACCTAGGAACCTCCGAATCCAAATCGGGACATATGTCTAAGTCCAAAATCACCATTTGGTCCTAAAAGAACTATCAAAACTCCTATCTGAGGTCAAATACACAAAACTTAAACATGGTCAATACTTCCAACTTAAGCTTCCAAAGCATACGGAGAAGTACCCTCAAGCCAAGCCTAGGCAAGATATATACCTTAAAGTACGAGAATCAATACATCAAAATTCCCTTGCCTCTCAAACCAGCCTCCAAACTGGTCAAATCCAGTATAAAAATAACTCAATAACGTTAAACGAGGCTATAGAAACCAATTTCAAATAATAAAATTTCGATCTTTATTCAATTACACAAAGTCAACCAAAAAGTCAACTGGACTCGCTTTTCGAAACCTGATAAAACTCAAAAATTTCGACTACCCATTTGAATATGTGTCCAAATATACAAGTTTTATCCAAATTCGACTCCAAATCGGGGTTTAAATCTCAATTATTCACTCTCCAAAATCTAACACAAAACCCTTAAATTCCTCTTTAAAATCCCATAATATATATAATAATACATGAGCAGACGAGATATAATATTAAAATTAAGTCAAAACCACTAACCCTCAAATTGGTAATGAAATTCTCCCTGAAAAATCGCCTCTAGCCGAGCTTCAAAATTAAAAATAGTATAAAGTGGGTCAAAAATCGACTTAAAACCTTTCTGTCGGGCATCTTGCCCATGCGCCCTCTTTGTCACTTCTGCGGCATCGTTTATGCAACAAAAGTCTTGCATTTGCGAGTTCACTTAAGACACCAGCCACCCACACCAACACACACACCTCGCATATGCGGCTCCGCAGGTGCGATAAATCCTTGTAGGCGCACTCACCGTAAGAGCGACCCTTTTGCACATCTGCACACTTCCAGTCCCAGGTCTTCCTACGCAGGTGCGAACTAAATTCTCGCAGGTGCAACATCGCACCTATGCACCACTCTTGTGCAGGCGCACCTATCCTGCCAAAAACCAGTAATACCACCATACACTCCAAAGATCCGAAATTGACCCGAAATACCCCCGAGCTCCACGAGACCCCGTCCAGTTATACCAACATGTCCAAACACATTATCCAAACTTACCCAAATATTAAAACACTGCGAATACCATCAAAAGCCAAGAATCGACGATCAAAACCAATCTCTTAAGTTCCAAACTTTCCAACTTCGCCAAACTTGTCCAAATCAAGCCTAAACATTCCGGATTCTAACCAAACTTCACACACAAGTTCTGAACCACTAAATGAACCTATTTTAAATCTCGAAATAACAATCCGAGTCTTATATCATCAAAGTCAACTCGCAGTCAAACCCATAAACTCTTCAAACCTCCAAAGTTCTAACTTTCGGCAATTAGAGTCAAAACATCCTAGGAGCCTCTAAATCCAAATCTGGATATACTCCTAAGTCCAAAATTACCATATGTACTTATTGGGACCATACCAATCTGAGGTTGTTTACAAAAGTCAAACCTTGGTCAACTATTACAACTTAAGCTTCCAACACAGAAATAAATGTTCCAATTCACTCCAAAAACTTCCCAAAACTAAATCAACTATCATCGCAAGTCACAAAATAACAAATAAGCATACGGAAAGCATCAAATAGGGAAAATAAGGCTCAAATATACAAGATCGGCCGGGACATTATACTTTTTCTTTCCCACTGAGGTTGGTTTCACCTGAATCAAGATTAGGTCTAGTACCGCTATTGAGCTCCCTAAGCTTGGAGATGAGAGCACTCGGAGATCTGGGATTTAAATCACGAATTTTACTTTTTGAGGTGCGCTTATTAATCATTATATCATAGGAGATTTTGAAGTTGAGTGCATACATATAGGTTAAAGTAATATTGAGAAAATATAATATTATTATTCATGGTTTAGGAAGAGGAGCATATGCTCACGTGGACCCATACACTTTCACCTTACACGGGCAAACCCACATTACAATAAGCAGGTTCCATTGAATCCGCTTCATCAAATTTTTTGTCTTTTAACAATTGTGAGTACTATTTACTTTTTCTTTTCATAAATTTTATACCTTATATTTGCCCTTTTTTGGCTTACGTGAAGGTGAGGTCAGTTTTATATTTTTATATTTATTGTTTTAGTAAATTCCTTATCTATTTTACGTTTATCTTGTTTGTGGTGGTTCAAATAGCTAGATTGATTTTAATAGCAGTTAATTAAGAGTAAAACATAAAATTTTAAATTGAAAAATTTAAAGGAAAATTTTATGCTTATAACTTGTTAAAAATTGTTAGAGTTATATATACAATTTAATGGAACATTAATAAAAATGATAGTTTTTTGTCTAACAGTGGTTTCAGACGGAAAAAAATTCCGAAACAACAATTATTAAAAAAAAAGAGAGCAACATACAACATTCACTTTCTTGTACACGGTAATACCTATTACTGAATATTATTGAAATAATATCACTGTATCTTATTAACCCTACTTGAATAAGGTCTTGGGTCCGCCATTGTCCACCTAAATATGCCTCTGGTCAAATTTGAGTAATGTCAAGGTGGATTGTGTATATTGCACCCCTTAAAATACGATTTGTCTTTCAATTCTGTGTGTATGCGAGATACTTCGTAAGCGGGACAATTTTTTTTTAAAAAGAAAACTTCAAGTATGAGATAACATTTCAGTACTTAGCTAGCGTTTGGACATAGATTTAGTTGAAACTTGAAAAAATAATTTTTGAAGTAGTTTTGAAAATAATTTTTTGGAAGTTGAAATTATGTTTGGACATGCATTTTATTTGAAAAAAATTTGAAGTTTTGTGAGGGGGAGAACAAGTTTCACCCAAAATCTACCCTAAACTAGATTTTGGGAACTTGAAAAATAATTTCAGAAATTTTTCAAAAATAGATTATTAATCTATGAACAAACAATGTTTCAAAAAAAAATTGAAAAAACGGTACCAAAATATATGGCCAAACGGGGTCTTAATTTCTCTGGGGAGTGAGTACGGATGGTACTGTAATAAGCATAGTACCAAAAAAAGAAATTTTTAAAGCTGCTTTAGTAATACACAAGATTCCCCCCAAGTCCTAAGAAAGGTAGAAAACATAAACTTAACCAAGCAAGAAAGCATAAAGTGCTGAACAGAATTTGGCTGCATGATGTGGCTTGTATATATACGGCTCACTCACGTTGGGAGTTTATTAATATCACACTTGATCTACCTTTCTTAACATATTATAAAAGGAAATAAAGAAGAATGAGACAGAATTTAAAAGTTTTCCTTATCAGCTATCACATGAAAATGATTAAAAAACGAATGCAAATTAATATAACGTAGAAAATTAATGTGAGGATATAGTACGTATAAGATATGAATGTCAATTATTGGTTTGATTATCATTACTAATTAGTACTAGATACTCAATATTATAAGAGCATATAATTGGTACGTAGTAAAAGTGAACGGTCTAGTTCATCATATTAATGAATGATAACCAATAGACTGATAACAAAAATATACTACTTCAATTTGCTTTTACTTATCCACTATTGACTTTGCACACCTAAGAAATAATAAATAAAATGTATAATTTATCATGATACCTATATTAATTGATGTATAGTCTTAATAAATTTGGAAAATGATTTAGAATGAGTAATTAATGGTAAGGACAAAACCGAAAAAATAAATTATTTTTCTCTTAATATGCGAAAAGTGACAAGTAAAAATAAAAAATTATTTTTAGAATACTTACAACTAAATTTAACAGGTCAATCATAATACTCCTCCAACTTGATTATACTTCTCTCTATTCTGTCATCCTCTTTGAAACTGTTAGGAGTTGTTAGATTACTAAGATTAGAATTATAATATCGGGATAAAATTTGGGTTGTATTTTTCATATATTTAGTTATGAGTATTAATTAATATCGTTACAAATCTTATATCAATGATGGTATTAACACATTGGATATGGAATAATAATCCTAGAACGAGAGTCCCGTGATTATTAATCCCGGATAAGGGATAATAATCCTAGAACGAGAATCCCGTGATTATTAATCCCAGAATAAATCTCTTTGGAACCAAACAACCCCTTAGTAATAAATAATTCCAACAGTTCCATGAAAATCAAAAGACAAATTAAGACCCTTTTATGTGAGATAATAAAGGTTAATATGGTCAATTCTATTGCTAATTAATGCTAAAAGGTGGATTTCTTAATCTGTGTGAAAACATAAAAAAAAATTACTTACTCTGGACCGAAGGGAGTAATTCTTTCTTTTCTAATAACCTAGCTTTAATTCAGTTCTCAGCTCGGCTTCCTTCAAGCCGCTGTTTGATACATAAAAAAAGAAGAAGCAAGAAACAGAATCTGAAATTAAAGCTTTATCAGCACTGGCGATTATACTATATATAAAGAATAACTTGAGCTGGTGATCGTATTATATAACTTGATGGGAAGAAATGGGATCAATAGCAGAAGTAATGAGAAAATTTGGAGATGAAAAAAGCACATTGTTAGATGAATATGAAAGGATTACATTTGAAATTCAATTGAACCAAGCTATTCTTGGTCGGAGTTTATCTGAGCCTGGTTCTTATAGGAGGAGTACTACCGTAGCACCACCAGGTCTGCCGCTGGCCGGAGATACTAAGCAGGAGGAGCAAGGGCCGTGCCGCCACCGGCACCACCGTGGTTACGGGTTCCAAAAGATGATGAAGAAGTTGCTGAAACCAATTCTTGGTAAAAAAGGAGATCATAGGATTATTGACGAAGCTCCTCCACATCCTAAGGACCCCAGGTTTTGGAAGAAATTCAGTAGATCTTTTCGGGTTTAATTTCAATGGTTAGATATGATTATATTTAATTTAATGTTTGTGCAAAATCTCATGCAGAAAATTCACAATTTCGAGTGATTATAGACCTTGCACTTTGCTTTGCAGCCAAGTTTAGTAAAAAAAAAAAGGAAAAATTCAGGTTCTTTTTGTTTTTGTATGGCAAAATTTCGAGTTTTGATGGTGATGGAGAAGAACCAAAATTATGAGTACCATTTTTTTTTTCTGTTTTAACTTTTGCAACAGAATGTTGAAAATTGTAGTACTTAGTTAAAAGAATCAATAAACTAAGTCTCAATTATTAATTCCAAATTAGTATGCAACTAGGATGGGACGGATTTATAGGCAAAATTATAGGGCACGTGAACCCATGGTCTTTTCGCAAAATTAAATATTTTATGCACATGTTTTCTAAAATTGATATAATATTAAATAACGGTACCCATGCTCCAAGAAAGTTGAATAGTGCACTTGGTTGAATGTTGAGTTATTTACCAAGAGGAATAGAGATCAAATTCTCACTTAGTACATTTTTTCTTCATTTTTTTAGCAATGCATCTATGTATTAAAAATCTTAGATTCGCAATGATTCTTATGTGTTCATCTTGTGAATTCTAAATTTTGTAAGTTAAGACAAATTAGAAGCTTTTGGAAAAACAAACGATTTTCTAAATCTCACACTTTCTCCTACACGAACATACATGAATATCTACTCAGAATGAGAAATCTAGAAAAATGAGGACTCATTGGATCTATAAAAGCAATAATTATGTCTTAAATCACAATTAGTGCGAGTATTGCCCATATGAATCATTTACTTTCAATCATAGTAAATTAGCAAACATAAACTCGTCATCTCTTGCCATTAATTCACATTGGAAATGATCATTGACGCGCACGAATACAAAGTTCCAGGTAAATCAAAAGAGAATCCATTGATATAAATCAAAAGAGAATCCATCGATTTCTAAGTGTCAGACTCTTCACTGCCATGTAAGTGGATGGATTTTTGAGAGATAAACATGTATACCGGTAAAATCGGGGATAACGCATACCCCGATTCCTGTTGAAGAAAACGAAAGAAGGGCACAAACGCACGAGATTGAAATCGAGGATGGTAGCCCTTCGTATCGAGATCCACGAAAGGTGAACGATGTGCTTAATTATCATCAGGTATGATAAAGCGACGCGCCCCGGACCCAGAACGAGTTCTAAGGCCTCGGAAAACACGGTAAACGGGTACACACGACGAATAGAGGGCCGTGATATTTGCACCTAATCGGATATCACGGCGCGCATCTCGCTCGACGTCAGTTATGGATCAGTAATTAACGAGAAAGGAAGATTTTTACCTTTTTTAGACTTATACTAGGAATGAAAATCTCCTACTATATAAAGGGGAAGTTTTTATTTTGTAACACACAAATCAAAGAAATACAAGTTTACTTTCTGTCTTTTAGTTACTGCTAAAGTTCTTATTTAATTGTTCTGTTCCTCATTCACAACTAGGCTCGAACCGAGGGTCTAATCGAGGACGAGGTCACTTTTCAATCTAAGTTCGGGCTCGGTCACAACATTACAATTGGTTTGATCATTTATTTCATATTTAACTCGTTTATCTAATATTCTTGGTAATCTGTGTTGAATCAAACCACGTATCCTTAAAATCGCGTACAAATTTAATTGTTATTCGATTTAGGGGTAAACAGTTTGGCGCCCACCGTGGGGCTAAGAATAATTGGTGATTTGATACGAATCTCCATAATATACCTTATTTTACACTTGTTCTTTAATGTCTTAATTTCAGGTCAAGCCGAAAATATCGAACTCTTGGGCTGCCCACTTGAATGTTGACGCTGAGCCTGGCCATCACGACAAATAATAATTAGGTGCACGTTTCATGTAGTTTAGTCACCAATTGCAATATAATTAAGAACATTTCATGATGACTTGTTATTAATTATAACTATGAACAGTCAAACGTTTTTATAACAGTATTCCTATATAACAGTCATTCACGATAAAAGTTAAGTTTCTCTCGAAACAAATTTTTATGTTGTGTTATAATATATGTCCTCTATACCAGCACTTCTCTATAACAACCAAAAATATTGGAATAAACAAAACTATTATAAATAGGTTTGATTGTATTAACAACTTGAAATTGATGACATAACTATATGTGAGCAGCATAAAATGTTCTATTAGGGCATCTCCAAAACCAACTGCATTTGCTATCATGCATGTGGTTTTTGGAGTAATTGGTCCCCAACGCTGCTGCACTTTTGGCTGTAAAATCGGTGATGAATAGTGTCACTCCACTATTTATCTCCTCCATTACTATTCCCTATTACTTTATTATTATTTTTATTATTTAACTCTTTCAATTTATCTCCTTATATATACCTAATTATGTTTATGTAATATTTTTATAATATTAATTTCGCATCTTAATTTTGGTGTATAATTTTGATAAATTAATTTTCGTACATTTATCATTTTTATGTAAAATTGTAAGTTAATTTTATTATAAGTTACAATCATACAAACAATATATAATCATCTCAAAAAATGAATGGTGCAAATAAAATATATGATGTTGCTAAAATTGAAAAGTAAAAATTAAAAAGACATTAAAATTGAAAATAAATTAAATTAAAAATAGCATAATAACTTAGTAGGGAGGTATGTTGTTTCCAGATACTAGAGGTTGAAGTTAAATATTTATGTAGTACTTAATCTGAATTTTACCATAATGTAATATGTATTTAATTATCTTGTATCTACCACCAAAGGATGTGGTGCAGTGGATGGGACTGCTCCTCCCTTAATCAGAGGTCTCGAGTTCGAGCCCTGGGTATGGAAAAATCCTTGGTAGGGAGCGCTTCCCCCCAAATGGGGCCCTATGCGGCGCGACTCCGGATGTAGTCGGGCTCCAATGCGGGAATGGAAAACCAAAAAAAAAATTATCTTGTATCTTAATGATTAAACTTTTATTTGAATTATTCGTTAATATGTATAATCTATAATATTTGCTTATAAATTAGATTATTTAAAAATTTATGGTATATATAATTTTATATTAAATAATTATATAAGAAAGAAATATAATTATATGTGATGAATATGTAAAAAAGAAAAAAAGGTAGAATTTCTTTAATAGAAATAAAAAAATAAAATTTAAATAAAAGATAATAATATAATATTAAAGAAAGAAAAGAATATAAAATGAAATATTGTTTTGGAGTAAAAGTTAGAGTAACTTTACTCTATTTTAAAGGAGAAAATAGAGGCAATGGTTAGAGATGGCCTTAGGCACCATGTTTGTCATTTTTCTCAAAATCTTCTCGTTAAAGTCCTTTATATTAGTGCCTCTATTGGAAGGCTACACCGTTGTCCAATCCAAAGATTGCTTCATATATGGATAATTTGGAAAATAACAAAATACGTACAAATGTATGCAATATCCGTTGAGGCAACGCTAAGCTCAAAGGTGAAGTCATTGCAATCACTGCTATGCCTTTTTTAATTATCTCCCCTAGCCAGCAACACTCCATTTTCTCTATTTCACCTCTAATCTCAACTGTTCAACCTCTTCTTAACAATACGCTCAAACCCTTGCATAGAACTCAAATTGACTTTGCTCTGATAAAAACTCAGTCTTTGACCAAACAAAGTTGCAATCTTTATCTTGATAATAAGGGTACTGTTAATTCCCAGTGGCAAGATATTCTTGAAGCTATTAAAGCCTCATCCACTTTACAAAATCTTGAAATTTCAAGAATAATTGAGCAAAATGGTGGGTTTAAAACCATATCTGATTTTAATCATTTGCTTATCTCTTTGGTTTTAGCAGATGAGTTTGAGCTAGCCTTGAAACTGAGCTCATTATCTTATGCATTAGCACCAGATGTTAACACATACTCAATTTGGGTCAGTTTGTACTGCAAAAAAAATGACCCTGAAACAGCCAAATCCATTTTAGGTAACATGTTGAAAGATGGGTTTCAACCCAAAGTTGCCACCTTTACAACTTTAATCAATACTTTTTGCAAAGGTGGAAAATTGCAAAAAGCTTATGAGGTTTTTGATGTCATGGGTCAAATTGGATGTGAACCCACAATTTATACTTACAACTGCTTGCTTAAAGGTTTGTGCTTTGTTGGTAGAGTGGAAGAAGCTTATGAGTTGCTTTTGAATATCAAGAAATCTAATAAAAAACCTGATCTTTATACTTATACTGCTGTTATGGATGGTTTTTGTAAGGTTGGTAGGTCCAATGAAGCACTAGAGTTGCTTGAGGAAGCTCTTGAAATGGGGCTGATACCTAATGTGGTTACTTATAATACTTTGTTCAATGGGTATTTTAAAGAAGGCAGGCCTTTAGATGGGATTAAATTGTTGAAGAAAATGAAGAAACAAAATTGTGTGCCTGATCATATAACTTATAGTACATTGTTACATGGGTTGTTGAAATGGGGAAAAATTAGAGCTGCTTCGAAAATTTATAAGGAGATGTTAAATCATGATTTTGAGGTGGACGGAAGGATTATGAATTCCTTGTTGAGAGGGTTATGCAGGCAATCAAGGAAGGAAAAAGAGATGTTAAAAGATGCATATCAAGTATTTGAAAGAATGCAGAGCCGAATGCTGGTTGTTGATCCTGTTGGATATGAGTTGGTCATTGAAGCTTTTTGTAGTGGCAAGGAGTTGGATAAAGCACTGGAGAGTTTATATGAGGTTGTTAGAATTGGGTATTCTCCTAAGGCATTCACTTTCTCTAATGTTATTCGTGTACTTTGTTTGGAGGGAAAAGTTGATAAGGCATTGTTAGTTTTTATTCTCATGCTGAAAGTTGGAAAATCTCCCAGTAGTGTTCCATTTAGCTTGTTGATCAATGAGCTGAATCAACAAAGAAAGCCATTGACTGCTTGTTACTTGTATGGTGTTGCATTGAAAAGTGGGGTGGTGCCAAGAAATAAACCTGAGGTATATATGCGTGGGAACGAGGTTTTCAACCCTGGAAGTGTATTGATTCCATTGTCACTGTGTGCTTTTTCATGAATGAAATAAGTCTGAATGTGGCGGGAATTGATAGAGAGGATTCATATGTTTAAAATTGAGGGTTAGTTCGTTGTTGGTGGCGAGCTTTATATCTAGTTTATTTACTATTTAGCATAAGAAAAATTGCTGCAATTACTGGTGTATCTGCTGGCTGTTCAAGAAAAGAGAAATGTATAGCTTACACTCCCCTTTGTTAATGGTCATGTAGTTTTAGCAGTGATATAAGAGCACTTCAACATTTACTGTTTTTTTTTTTTGCTGATGAAAGAATAGTCTATTATATTAAAAGCTTTAGTTATTACATAACATAGGGATAAACCGCATTGCGGTTTTTCCCCGATTTGTCTTTAATAAAAATTTGTAAAATAAAAGCCGGAGGTGTTTCCCAGTACATAATACTATCTTCCTCCATTGTTGTTTGTTGCCTAGTGCTTTCATACTTTGCCAGAGCGTATCAAGATGAAAATTGCAATCATGAAGAAGATGTGAGTAGCGAGGTTGTTCATCTTTAAATAAATTACATAATACCTGTGAATCTATTTCCACTATATGATAACAGCTTTGTCTCCTTTATTACATTAGCTGATATTTGCTCTTTCTTTCTAGTAGCAAGCTTGCACCAGCCATACCATTGTCAAGCAGAATTCTTGTTAAGTAGGATTACCCTTTAAGATAACCACTATGCAAATATACATTCTTTTTCAACAAAATACAGAACTTTGGGAGGGGAATTTTTTTCTTCATTTCCTCTTTCGTTTTCCTTTTTTACATTTCTTTTCCAGGAGAGGGGTTGGGGGTAAACAAGAAAAAGAAAAAGAAGCCATATTAACATCTCCCTCAGGATCTCGATTAGGGAACACTACTCAAACCAAATAGAAACCATATCTACAAAATGTTATTCCCCACATCTTCTTCCTTGAGGAAAGGGAAGGTGGAAAGCCACAAGTTTATCTTTCTATATCTTTTCATGTAAAAAGGGAAGGCCCCAAAAGAGAAAAAGAAAAAAAGAAACAATAATGAAAAAATGCTCTCTACAAACAATCAAAATCCTTCAACACTAGATCTCCGAACAGATGAAGATGATGGCCTCCGGCTTTCCAGCCGATCAAGGTCCTCCATGGAGAGGTTGGAGGAACATGAAGGTAGAGACAAGAATGGAGCAGCAGTCCTTGTGGGAGAAATAGATAGAGGGTGCATCGGTGGTGACGGGGAGAAGCTTAACCGTGGTGCTGGCGTAATGATTCCGTTTAAGCTCGGAGACTTTGACATGTGTTTTACACTAATTGCCCCTGGCTCTTGCAGAGGAAACCTAGAAGGGTACTTCATCACTTGTATAGTCTTGAGTTGCTCCACTATAGTTCTCATGGTGGGCCTTCCAGATGGATCCTTTTGCAGACATCTTTGAGCAATATCAGCCACTGTCCTTGCTGCTTTCGCAGGGAACCGACCTTTTAACTGAGGATCCATGATTAGTGATAATCTGCCGTCATCAGCTAGGAAAGGCCTGCTCCACTTCACTAAATTCCTCTCCTCTTTTGGATGCCGACTGTCTAAATTCTTCCGGCCAGTCAGCAACTCAAGAAGAACAATCCCAAAACTCCAAACGTTGCTCTTTGGTGTTAACAATCCTCGTTCCAGAGTCTCTTCAGAGAGATTTCCCAGAGCCTGAAAAAGTCAACGTTATAAACAAGAAACTTTTAGGATCTCTGAAGAAGTCAGGAAAAAGTGAACAACTGCAAGCAAAACACCTGTCAAATTGCCAATTAGACTAGAGAGAGTGATACAAAACAATTATTTTTTTCAGAAGGCACAAAGACAAATTTTTCACAAAAAGATAGTATTAATCTTTACAGCAAGATGCACAGGCCTAGTGGTTACCCCTATTAAAAGCCACATCCACTATACATGACTCAACTATTATGTGGAGCATGCACAGCACAAGGGTTTATCTGTGAGTAAAACTTTGAACAAAAGCAATTCTCTTTCCTTCAAACCTTCCTACGACACAGTTAATGGCATCAGATCTCACTCCATGCTGACCCCCCCAAACTTGCTTGACGAGTAATCCTTTCTCACGAACAAGCAAAACCCCCAGACAAACCTAGGAGCTAAGACCGGCCTTTTAACAGAGAAAAAATGTTCTGCAACTATTAACAGAGGAAACTTACAGCTGAACTGCAAGATATGTCTGTCTCTTGTATATGTGTAATGCATCCATATCCCGAAAGCTTGGCACTAAAATCCTTATCTATTTGTATATTTGCAGTGGAAAATTCATGGAACATTGCCTGTTACGGAAAATAAGAAACTTAGCAAACTATGTGAATAGCATAGGCCCTAGCCAATAACAAAAGCTGGAGATATACAGAGGTGACACGAAATATTACAAGGTTGCATATGGAAAATAAAAGGTAACTCTCATTAGACTACAGATTCAGGAAGCAGCATTGTTACCTGGAAAGGTCCTTCCTCATGCAGGAATGTGAGACCTTGAGCAGCACACAAAGCAATTTTCGTTCGAGCATTCCAGTCCATCGGGGGACCATCTGACCTCCCAAACAAAAGCCGGTCTAAGCTTCCATGGAAAAGCCTCTCATAAACCAACATTCTGTGGTCAGAACCTTCCCGTGCATGAAAACCAATCAGTTTACAAAGTGACGGATGTTGTAAAGAAGCTAGTGTGTTGACCTCAGTTACAAATTCCTTTAACCCCTGGAAAAGCCAAAACGTAAAAGATAGTAAGCCTTCCAAAACTCATAAAGAATTGCCAATACCTGCCAAATTGCATCCTAAATTTAAACCATGGAATCAGACCGTTTTTGCCCTCACATGATGGAAGAACCAAAGTCACCAATCTAACCAAATATGAGCTGTCCCAAACTTACATATCACATGGCAATCAGATGAAAGATGACCCCCCCCCCCCCCCAAAACAAAAAAAAGAGGGGGATTACAAAAGATAATGAACAGACAAGATAATTCAAAGTCAATAAGTCAAACTGTACATTACCTGCGAAGAAGGATGAAGGCGGGTTACAGTGGCTTCAAGCTTCTTTGTACTAGTGGCATCATCACCAAAAGAAGCTTTGTAGATAACAGAAGAGAGACCTTCAGACATACATCGCTCAGGAGAGAACCGGTGGCAGGCAGAAGCAATTTCTTCAAACGAGAAGTTCCTGAGTGCTCCAGTAGAAGGTAAGGTTGGAGGCAGTGTAGGAGGCAACGGCAGCGGTCCAGAGGCATTCAGAGGGCCACTAGCATTCACAACTTTAAAGCTTCCCATAGTCTTGAGAGTGGCAGCACTCTGTGGTGAAGGAAGAGGAAGAGGCTGAGGAGTTGGTGACTGGTATTCCTTTATCGAACCAACACGACTCCTTAACTCTTCTTGTTCCTCACATTCATTCGATGCTAGAGCATCTTGTTCTGCTGCGTCCAGGCTCGATGGGGCAGAGAGTGCCCGTGTCCTACTGCTTGTTACTCTGTTATTCGACTGTACAGGTTTTACTCTAGTTCTAAAACTTGGGGGTGCCGACTGCAATGCCCGTGTGTGCACTTGGGGCTCAGGCAACACAGTAGGAGAATGTTCCTGAGGATTCACACGTTTGATGTGGATACTCTGTTCAGACTTCTTCTTCTTACTTTTTAAAACTGTGAAACAACCCATTTTCGTGTCTACAATTTCAGGTTTTATATCCTCCTGCCAAATCAGTAGCATAAAGAAACTTATGATTTTCACTCTGACATATTAAAAAACTCAATAACCTTCATGTTGTACAAATCATCAATCTATAGGATTACAAATTTTGTAACATACAAATATAGAATTGGATCGTTGATGTCACCTAGGACAGTGATTATCATGTCTGAAGTAGGATATACAAAAATTGCCCAATCTTCAGCAATACAGAATCAAAGACTATAGTTAGCAATTAAATTTCTAGGTTCTAAAGGCACAAATGAGCAAGAGAACAAACAGAGATAAATCCAAAATTTATCTAAATTTCCACAAAACAAAAGGTGGTATATCATTAATTATGGAGGAGTACTGTCACTAAATATATGAGCTGCTAAATTTTCAAAAAAGAGAAGGCCAAAATTGTACTTTTAGATTTAACATTCAAATTGAATAGGATGATCCAATAGAAATTATAATTGTTTTATTTTTTTCAAAAAGCAGAAATAATGATAAACCAATCTAAACAACCACAAAAAGATCTTTGGCAACTACAAGGATCCACAATATCAAATACTGAAAATGGACTATCAATTCACAGAAACTAAGAACAAAAGAAAAAAGCAAAAAACCAACCTTAGAAAATTGCACCCGAGCAAATTGTATTGAAGTTTGAGCTGTTCTGAGCTTAAAGTTTGAAACTTTACTGATTTATTCAACTAGATTTCCAAGTAATGAAATTTCCAAATCTGTTGTTGATAACTAGATTTTTTGGTTAGCAAAGAAACCCTAAAGACAAGTCAAATGAATACAAATGAGGAAAGGTAAAGACGAGCAGATTTTTGAGAGAGAAAAAGGAAGAAAGAGAGTTCATAGAAATGGAGTACAAGAAGCAGTAGTCAAACACTCAAACCAACCAAAAAACCCCCAATGAGTAAATTTCTCAATTAAGAAAGATCCCCTTTTATTGTTATCTCCACACACCACATCACAAAGACATTTTTGCCCCTTTAAACAATTTTTTTATACACTTCCCTAGAATAAATTAGTATCAAATTTCCAATTTAATACTATGATCAATGTTTATTTTCAAGTTAGATTTTCGAGTTTTTTTTTTTTTTTTTGGGTTTCATATTAACTTCACTCATGACTCAGCTAAAATATCATCGCATCGGAAGTCAGTCAACAGTTAGTTCAATTTAAATAACATATTAATTCTTCCGTTTCAATTTATGTGAAACTGTTTGATTGGCAGGGAGTTTAAGAAAAAAAATGAAGATTTTGAAATTTGTGGTCCTAAATAAGTTAAGACGGGATCCAGAGTATT